GAAGGTCCAGGAACCCAGGCTGGAGCCCCCCCCCCACTGGCAGCCAGGTAAGACCTGGCAACCCTACTGAGAATGAGGAGATTTTTAGAGAGGGGGAAAATGGCATGAAGTGAGAGAATTAAGGATCCCGGAGAAAATGGCTGCCTTGGAGAGTAGACTCTATGGTTTTATACCCTGCTGAGGTCCCTCACCACCCCAAACCCCACCCTCTCTAGTCTTCTCCTCCAAATCTCTAGGGAATTCCCAGCGCAAAATTGGCAACCCTTGATCCAAGGGTCCATACAGGGTGGCTTTGTGTGTCCCTGTATCTCTTTCCCCTTAAACTGCAGCTCTCACGCTGCATTCTGTTATTGCTGGTAGAAATAAACACATCCATGTAAAGTATTTTTCCACCCTGAGTGTCAGAGGTCGGGCTGGCCCTCAAACCTATATTGTTTTTCCTGAAGCCCTTTCACCTTTCAGAGTCAGCACCATTGTTGTTCAGGTATTCTCCGGTATTGGATTGAGGATGGGTCTCCGCTGCAGTTTCAGCATCCCCAGTCTGACCATGGAAGCTGTATCTGCCAAGTAGAGAGCATGGAGGAGGAAGCTTGAGTGGCTGGACTGCAGCAGGATGAGCCTAATGTGGCTAACGGGGGAAGTTGCATGAGAACACTGGGTTAAACACACAGGAAGACACGGTCTGTGCTTACCTCTCTGGGCTTGATTCAGGGGAGATGTGAGAGTTCTCGTTCATTTTTGCACTTTGTCCCTTTCTTCCTTCCCAGCTGCAGATGGCAATAGAATATTTGGTTAACTGGGCCATTCCAATTTTTCCCCCCCTACTGGGAATGGTTTTCATCGACAAAAGATCCTCCCGGTGAGAGCTAAATCATTTTGTATTATTCATTTTCATACACGTGTGTTTATGTCATATGTCAAAGTAGAAATGAAACTATTTTCAAGCATTTTTCCTGACACTACTTTGCTTGCGGTTCTCCCCCCCCAAAAAAAATGTATATGTATTGCATGCAGTGTTGTATTATTCATTTTCATAAATGTGTGTTTATGTCATACGTCAAGGTAGAAATGAAACTATTTTCAAGCATTTTTCCTGACACTACTTTGCTTGCAGTTCTCCCCCCCCCCAAAAAAAAATGTATATGTATTGCATGCTGTTCAGCATTCCAATGAGTCTTCCCACTAGGGATGCCAGCCCCCAGGGCAGGGTCTGGAAATCTCCCAGAATTACCAGTGATCCCCAAACAACAGAAATCAGGTCTCATGGACAACATGGCTGCTTTGGAGGGTTAATTAATTAATTATAGTATGGCATTGTGTGTAGAATAGCCAGGAGAGCCTAAGGTCTTTCTGGCAGCCAGAAGTTCTAGCTCTTTCAGCGTTATGTACCACTAGGTGGCGAGCTAAACTTGTTTTTAAGGCAAGCGATGTTTCAGAGGTGGTTTTGCCTATTGCCTGCCTCTGTGTCACAACCCTGGTATTCCTTGGAGGTTGCCAAGAGAAGGGAGGGGGCAGTTGTGGGTGTTTGGGCCTGGGGGGCGGGGCTTCTCCCTCAGGCCTGCTGGCCTGTGGCTGGGTTGAAACCCCAAAAAGTAGGTAAACCCCAGGCTGAGGGGTCTGGCAGCCCTAAATATCATCAAGCCCCTCCTGCTACTATGCTGTTACCATCTGGTGTTCTGTTTTTGAGGACTCAGAATGATAACCCGCCTGCCTTAACCGAGGTAGGGTAATTACCACCTGGAATGCCTTATGGGATTTAGCCCTCTCCGCCTTAAATGGACTAGCACCAGGCCATCATAGTAATAGTTACGAAGTACTCTGATTGCCATCATGTAAGGATTAAGTTTTATAGTTTTTAATCTCTGATTTTATCGTCCTGTAATTGATGCCGATTGCCCCGATACTATTGGTCAAAATCGGGCGAAGCTGCGAGTCAAAATGCAGCCCCGCAGCTTCGGGTGTGAAATTGACCAATAGTATCGGGGCAAACGGCGGCGCAACATCGAGGCAGCTCTAGTGCGAAATCAGCCGATGTCTGGTTTTCTTGGGAACCGTGGGAGAGTGTTTCGTTCCCAGCTTCAGCGCTAAACGGCCGAAGCTCTTTCTCCCGCACGCGGGAGGGTGGCTCATTGGCCAGGGCAGGGGGAGGGGTGCATACGAGTACCCTATATCCTATTACGCCCCATGGGCAGCCGTCATTCTTAACAGTGCCTATGTTAATGCATCTCTAGCTCTTCAATAAAGTATTACCTTTCCTGAAAGCGTGTACTACGTTGTTGGCTGTGGGTTCTGACACACTCTAGCATTCCGCACAGAAGAGAGGAAGGGCCGTTGTTTCATTCCCCACTGACACGGCTGTGCAGAAGGCACAGACGTGGGGCAGCGACTGCTGCAGTTAATATGGCACATCGCTCTGGAGAGTCTTACCTGTACTCGGGCAAAATGGCATCTTGCATTTCAGAGCCAGATGAGAGCCGGGATTTTCCTTCGTTCTTCTGACTGTGGAAACGCAAGCGAAAGAATTTGGGAATTGGGACCCGGGTCTCTTTTGCCCCTTCTAGCCCAGGTGACAGTGGCGAGAACAAAAAAAAACCCCAACAGTAAGAGTGGGGTTGCCAGCAGGTCTGGAGAAGAAAGTTCTTGTCCCTTTAACAGATGCTTAATGGGTGGAAATTGACAGCCATCACATACCAGCAGGCCTCTATCAAAGGGCCAGGACATTCCCCCCCCCCTCCTCCAGACACATGGCAACCTGAGGCAAGAGATTCAGCTGCTAGGGATGCCAACAGCCTGGAGGGGGAAAGTATCCTGTCCCTTTAACAGAGGCTGAATAGGATGTTATTTACCAACTGATGTTCCTTCCATGCCATGAAAAGCTTCACTTGCCCATTTCCACCTGTTAAACATCTACTAAAGGGACAGAACTTTTTTTCCCTCCAGGTTGCCGGCAACCGCATTAACTGGCCCGCATATGCCCTCCATGCAGAAGGTCCTGGGTTTGATCACCGGCATTTCCAGTGTAAAGACCTCACGCAGCAAATGCTGGGGAAAGGCCTTTCTCAGCTTGACACCCAGCGGAGCCATTGTCGGTCAGAAAAGACCATGCTGAGCCACATGGGCCAGTGGAACAGTGCGGCTACATGTGTGTTCATTGTCTGCGAAGAAGGAAGTGCATTTAAGTAAACTACTTTTGCACAGACTTTACCTCCTCTTTGGAGAAGAAACGGAGCCCTTTGGAGACTCGTCCCAGGAAGTCTGACTGTACGTCTTTTGATCTTGCTTGTTACTGGGGAAGAAAGCAAAATCAGAACATGACTTCTGGGTGCAGCATAGTGTGAATAAAGGAAGAAAAGGGCCAACTCTGTATTTGGAGGAAACCCCATAATAGCTCCTTTCGGATGAAACAGAAGCCATTTTACAGGTAGGTTGTTACCATCCGTGCAGGGCTGTAGACTGTGCAGATCTTAACTGGGAAGAGAAGAGAGGCTGTATATATCATGGGAGGCCTGACCTGGATAGCCCAGGCGAGCCTGATCTCACCAGATCAGAAGCTAAGCATGGTCGACCCTGATCGGTTCTTGGATGGGAGACCACCGTGGAAGTTCAGGGTGACTAGGCAGAGGCAGGCAACAGGAAACCACCTCTGAGAATCCCTTGCCCTGAAAACCCTACGGGATATGGCCATAGGTCGGTTGTGACTCGACAGCACTTTCCACCACCATATAATGGGATCCCTCGCTGAGCTTTAATAAAGGCAGGAGTGTGTGTGTATTATAATACCGCATCATACAAAGATAGAAGCTGATGCTGGGCACAGGATTCAGTAGGCTAAGCATCTTAGAGATGATTCCAAAGGCCAACCAAACCGTTGTTTTTTAACTTATGCTAGTGCTGCTGACTCTGTTCAGTGGTGGTTGCCCATTATCCTGTCCCCACACAAAGGGGAAGAGGCTTTCTATCGGTCTCCAGTGGCACCTGCCCATCTCCTTGTGACACGATTATTCTATACACTATTATTTATATACACAAGCAAACCTCCCCACAAGATAGGAACTCTCAGGCTGTGTTCCCTCTAAGCTGAGTTAGTGTGAGCAGGCTCCCAGTTTTTTAGCCTCCAGCTCGCACATTTTTGTCTTGGCTCAGGAAGGAGGGCTCCAGAGCCAACTAATTTATGCAGCAGCCAAATCGCTCACTCACAATTTTAATGCCAGTAGCTCACAAAGTAGAATTTTTGCTTACAAGGCTCCATAGCTTAAACATTGCTCTCAGGCTGGGGCAAGTGATGCTCTGTATTCTTGGTGCTTTGGGGTGTGTGTGGCAACAGTGGGAGGGCTTCTAGTGTCCTGGCCCCACTGCTGGACCCCCTGATGGCACCTGGTATTTTTGGCCACTGTGTGACAGTTGGACTGGATGGGCCATTCGCCTGATCCAACATTGGCTTCTCTTATGTTCTCATGTTCTCTTATGTTCTTAAGGTGCAGGAGAAAATCTGTTAATTTCAATTTTATCTGTCTGTCTGACTGTCTGTCTGTCTGTCTATGTATCTATCTGAAAATGACAAGGCTTTCACTTCTATAGCCAGTCTAGAAGCCTGGTAAGACTGGCCACACCCGTTGCTTCACCAGGCTTTTGCAGTCTGTCCCCTGAAAGCTGGGGGAGGATTTGCCAGTTTCATTACAACTTTTTATTCTTTCAGTAATGAGCCTGGCATGAGATTGGTGATCCTACTGGAGCTAGAGAGACAGGGGTGATGCACATTCACTGGTCACAGATCTGTAAGACAACGGTACTGTATCTATAATACCTTCTCATCTCAAAGGGCTACGTTGTAATTACAACACGTCAAAAAAAAAAAGATAAATCAGCAGTTGGGGGAACAGGATGGGGTGCAGTAAAGATGGGAACGGAGTCTTTTGGGATGAACATTATCTAACCGGAGGTGTCAGACTCATTTATTATGAGGGCCGGATCTGATATGAATGTCATTTTGTCAGGCCGGGCCACGGGTGCCATAAAATGTAATGCCAGTTACGGGGGATATAAACTTTACAAAGGACACGGGCAAGCCCAATTAATGATATTATATTTTACTCAAAATACAAGCATGCTGTAAACATTAACACTCTCACAATGTTTCCTCAAAGTATCTCCCTGATGCCCACCCTCCCACTCATTAGCACTGGGACTGTATACGGGGACCAGTGTTCCCTCTAACCTGAGTTCGTGTGAGCTAGCTCACAGTTTTTTAGCCTCCGGCTCACACATCTTTGTCTCCGCTCAGGAAGGAGGGCTCCGGAGCAAACTAATTGATGCAGCGGCCAAACTGCTCGCTCACAACTTTCATGCCAGCAGCTCACAAAGTACAATTTTTGCTCACAAGACTCCACAGCTTAGAGGGAGCATTGACGGGGACATAATGACCAGCCTCTGTCATCTGGCAATAAAGGTAATGACCAGTTGCTTGTGGGTCAGATAAGAGCCCTGGATGGGCCGATTCTGGCCCACGCGCCATCTGTTTGACACCCTTGGTCTAGATTCTTGGGGGAAAGTGATTGACTGACGGTTGTCAATAGCAGAGAAAACGGATAACCTTCTAAACTAGAAAACCTGTTTCTCATTCCCAAAGGTTTCGGTGATGGGTCTGATGGTCTGTGGGCAGTGATGCCTGGTACAATGTCAGATTGTGGGCCGGTGGAGGGCAGCAGCAGTGCTGGGGCGGCAGGGCTTTGGTGCCAAGACCAGCTCTTCGTTCCTTTCTCACAGCCCGTAAGGCAGCAAAAAATTACATAAAATAAGCAGCCGCGTGTAACTTCATTTAATTTCCATGGGGTTACGGAACGTTGGTTTTGCTTGGCACAAAACTGAGGGCTGCAGAAGGCGAGGGGAGCACCCTGGGGCCGAGGACTCGCGCACACTACCTGTTCTCCAAAGATGTGAAGTGATTGAATGCTGAGGAGTACCCAGAATGTCTGGAAGTTTGGTTCCTGCTGCCCGAGTCAATGCTGAAGTAGGGAGACATGGAATAAAAAGCTTCTCAGTAATGTGGCACAAAAGATGGAATGATTTCAGTTCTGCAAAGGCTCTTCCTTTTTTTCCAAAACCAGATTAGTAAAGGTAAAGGTTCCCTTGCTCGAAAGCCAGTCGAGTCCGACTCTAGGGTTGAGGTGCTCATCTCCGTTTCAAAGCCGAAGAGCCAGCGCTGTCCGAAGACGTTTCCGTGGTCATGTGGCCAGCATGACTAAACACCAAGGCGCAAGGAACGCTGTTACCTTCCCACCAAAGTGGTGGGACTAGAGACGTGAGCTCACTCCATCATGCGGCACCCGGGTCTCGAACTGCTGAACTACTGACCTTCCACAGCCTGCAGTTCAGCGTCTTAACCACTTGAGCCACTGCAGCTCCCAAAAACCAGATTACTTCCCCCAAAATTTCACACACACCCCCCAGCAAATGGGTAAGATTTGGCATAAATTATTATTTGCGCTGGTCTGCAAAGGTGGCATTCATGTTTTCTAAAGAAATAAAAGAAGTATTATTTCACCATTTATATAGCACTTTTTAGTGTTCAAAGTGCTTCACGTATAATTTCAGTATGATTGTTCTCATATTGCATATGCGGAGGTCGGGTTAAGTAAGAGCAGCTTGTCTAACACCAGGTTGCCAGTTCGGATCTCGCATATGTCACAGTCTCCTGATGACAAGCTCAATCAGTCTCAGAATGCATAATGCAGCAATCACGCATGCATTGTACAGCACAGGAAAGCTGGAATGCAAATATACTGTCTGGCATGGGCCACCAATTGTCCCTGGTGTACATGCATATAAATGTATGAATACTAAGGCAACATGCAGCGTATAGCCGGTCACTTCACACGCTACAGGCATAAATTTCAAACAATGTATTATCAGACAGCTGGGTCCCCCCCCCCCAACATGTATGTTTATAACCAAAAGAAGAAATACCATCTTAGCTTTCAAACCGGTGGAGGACAGGTGACCGCAGAGTCAGTGGAAAGTACATATAACAGACATCGTAAAGCCTTCAGCACTGAGCAATGGAGGGGAGATCAGGGCAATGACCGTGGTGTGACGATACAGATGTTACACACATGTCTGTTTCCGTCTGTGAACAGCTGGAAGGTCCGTTGTTCACAGATGTGCTTCTTTCCATGCTTACGGATATGCGTCTTCACAAAGAGGGAGATCAGAAAGCTTCACTCATACCTCTATAAACATTTTAGTCTATCCCTGTGCTACAGCCAAAACTTCCATTATCCACCTTCTTTGAATTAAGTACTCTGAAGCTTTGTACTGTAAGAAGGTCAACAGCTAGGCCTTCGGAGGGATGAAGACCGACGGCCATCGATGTGCCTATCCCATGAGAAGGCAGCAGATAGGCTATAAAGCCTGGATCCTGCCCCTTCCTCCCGACTGCCAGCTACCTTCCCTGAGACCTACAGGAAGGAGAAAGGAAAAGAGGCTCCCAAAAGGCCCCCTCCATTGTGCCCGGACCAAGCCCCGCTCATCGCTTTTCTGAGTTAGCTTTGATGTTTTTGCTGACATTTTAATTTTATTTTTTTTACCTTTTTCATGCAAACCGCTTTGAGAACACTCGCGTTGGAAAAGCAGCCCGTGAATTCTTGCGAGCAAATGCAAAACTAAATAGAATGCAGAACTCCGTCTCGTACCACAATTAGAGATGCCAGCCTCCGGGTGGGACCTGGGGCTCCCCTGGAATTACAGCTCATCTCCAGATGACAGAGATCAGTTCCCGAGATAAAATGGATGCTTAGGAGGGTGGACTCTGTGGCATTGTACCCCACTGAGGTCCCTGTCCTCCCCAGGCTCCATCCCCAAATCTCCAGGAGTTTCCCAAACTGGATCTGCTGCTAACCCTACCCACCCCCCCACCCTTGCCAGTGGCCAGGGAGGACCTGGGAATCCTATCCACATGCGTGAACCTGGAATTAGGTTAGCTACTAAACCTCTTTTCCATACATACACTTCGTGTCTCCCCATATGTAGCTGGAAATAGTGGATTTTCCGGTTTGTGAACCGTCGTCTTCAGAAGGTTCCCGGGAGAACTCCCGAGGAACCACTGAACCTCCAGGTCTTAGCGGGGGGCTCTGGGGCTCCAGACCCCTATAGACAGGGGTCATTTCCTGCAGGAGCGCACAGGAGTGTAGCTCCGGCAGTAAAGAGCCCAGGGGTTGGGCACATGCAACAAGCCCCACCCCCTGCTCCCAGCAGGCCTCAGTCAGAGCAAGAAGCAGCCAGGTAAGTTGCAGAGCCCCCTCCGCCCCCCTGGTCCAAAACAGTCCAGTGGCACCTTTAAGACCAAGTTTTATTCAGGTACAAGCTCTCACTCCTCTGCGAGGACAGATCTGCACATCCAAACCTCCCCCCCCCTGATAGCTAGCTATCCAAAACAGTCCAGTGGAGCATGAGCGGTGGGTGTTGCCTTCTGACACACTTCTGGTGATGTCAGGGGGTGTGGCATATGCAAATGAGTTATGCTAATGAGCTCCTGCACCTCTTTTTCTATGAAATGATCCCTGCCTATAGAGCCTTCTCGAAGGGAAGCTCTAGGAAAGGGGCTTGATCCGGGGGCTCTCACATACAGCGAGTAGACTCCAGATCGCCCCGAAGCAGGGACCTGAGAGGGAGCGCTTGTGGGCAACTATCAAGCGCCGAAGAGAGATCGACCACTTCCGGAGCTGTACTCCAACTAAAGAATCTCATCTTAAAACTCTACTTTTGGACACCATGAGTAACTGAGCAATACTGAGCAACTCTAAACTTTCCCTCTCTGCTGTTTTGGATAGCTAAGGTTGGTCCATTTGAAATTTAAAGTCCTGGGCGAAGAGAATAAAGGGTGAAGGGGTTTCCCCCCCATCCCAGGTGCAGCAGCTTGGAAGTGCATCCCAGGCTTCACGCTAATTCCTATTACTGAAGATAGTTACTAAAGGACCCGAACGGCTGTGTTTGGTTGACTCTACCAATTTGGGACTAGGGGCTTCATTTAAGTATAGTCTGGCTTTTTCTTTTCTATTTGATATCTGATAGTTGATGCAAGGACTGAAGAAGATTTATTTCAAGTGTTGCCCTTCGACTCCCTTTGCACTGTGGCTGTAGCAGAGAGACAAGCAGCAAGGTTGCTTTGACTTTTACACTTAAAAAGAACTCTCCTCTAAGTGGATTATAACTTGGCTGGTTATATGTGGAACCTCTTCTTTTTTCTTCTTGTAATTTTTTTCTTGGGAACTATAATCTCTTTTTGGACTTGGGAATCTATTTTTATTTTACTTTATAATGGATTTTATTTTTCTGGGTTTTTGTTTTTGTCTTTTTTTATTAATCCTTTTCTTGGACTTTTGACACCTATGGGACGACAAGATTGGACTCTCTCCCTGGATATATACTTTTGGGTTTTTTTAACACATAGATCACCTGTCTTCTAAAGGAATACAATGGCCTGCTGAAAAATTAAGCAGTATACACCTTTTTTGTGGATATTTACAATTGATACAAACTGCGGTGGCTCAAGTGGTTAAGACGCTGAACTGCAGGCTGTGGAAGGTCAGTAGTTCAGCAGTTCGAGACCCGGGTGCCGCATGACAGAGTGAGCTCACGTCTCTAGTCCCACCACTTCGGTGGGAAGGTAACAGCGTTCCTTGCGCCTTGGTGTTTAGTCATGCCGGTCACATGACCACGGAAAACGTCTTCAGACAGTGCTGGCTCTTTGGCTTTGAAATGGAGATAAGCACTGCAACCCTAGAGTCGGACTCAACTGGCTTTCGAGCAAGGGAACCTTTACCTTTACAATTGAATTTATTTTAGCTGGTGGCTCTCCTTTTGTCTGTGGATATTGGCTTTACTTTTCATATTGAAATAGAAAGACAAGAGGTTGGGGTAAGACGTTTCCTCACACTTTGTTTTGTTACTTTGGGCCCCGGGAACAAGAAGAAACAGTTTGGTGGACTACAACTTTGGTGCTGTGCTGCTTTGCGAGAAAACTGACGGCTTAAAAATACTTCCGACTGTCATTGTGAAGGATAGAGCTATTAGAATTTGATTTGGGCTTCAAGAAATAGTAATTTTTAACTAAAGTAATGTAAGAAGATGATTGTTATGTGAGAACAAAGGTTTTGGTTATGAGAGGCACCAGCAAGGGGAACTGGACAGAGAGTCTCTGTTTAAATATAAACTCTTCTCTCAGTAACAATCACAATTGATAAGCTAGGGGTAAGGCCAGGTATTTACATGAGAGGTGTTTAAAAGGGGGAAATAATTTTGCGGCCTGACCTGGCTTGATTTTTTACAGTGACTTGTGTGTTCGTAAAGAAAGAGGGGGAGGGGGCTCATAGTGGATACAGGTGAAATAGGTCCAGTGGTCCAGGGAGACCCTCCCCAGGCACGAGTAAAACAATTGCTGCTAGTTTAGCCAAAATTTCAGCCCAAGACTTGCAGGCCCTGACACAAGAGGCTGTTTCTTCAGCTGTCAACAAACCCATTGAGACTGCGGTCCCTACGGCTGTAAGCAATGCAGAACCCCTTGCGGTTGAGCCCCTACAAGCCAAAATGGATGCTTTGGCCCTACAGACGACTTCTCAGACCGAAGAAATTAAACAACAGATATTTGAAAATAAAGAGGCTCATAAGTATAACTGGATGAATAACCAACACATGTTTTGATTCTCTGGTGGGGCTCCATTTTAAATAACTGGAGCTGTGAGTCTCTGGCACATTTTGTTCCCTTGTTGAGGCTATTTGGGTTCTCATGGCTTACTGTAATATGGGATGGAAAAAAGAAGAAGAAGATATGGACTGTCCTAACCTGGTGGTAGAAGCAGCATTTGACATTCTCTGGTCACTCCACAGGCTCCTTCTTTCTTCAACAATGCTGATAGTAACCAAAAAGGGATGGGAAGTTAGTCTGCAGCATTTCTCTACTGAGATTGGCAACCCATCGTAGCCATTTGCAGTGTGTCTTTGGTACAATTCTCCCTTCATGTCAGGGCTTCAAGGTCAAAGTCTATCCCACAGCCTGGAGCTGAAGAAGAATTGTGCACAAAGTCCAGATTTGCCAATATTTTAGAAATCATACTTGATTTTTGATACTTTTGGGGACAGCAGCCAAACTGAGCAGAAATAAGACAATGCTAAATTTTTCAGTCTGCTGAAAAATGAACTGATTTATTTTCTTTGCTGATTTCATGCTATGTCAGATTTTACTGGTGGTTTTCAAATACTTATGTGTTCGATTTTATTAAAACTGTGTTTTGATGCTATTTTTTTTCAGAGTCACAAACCATCCCGGGGACCACATGCTGAGAGGCAGTCTGTAAACAGATGAAATACATCACCCCAGGAACCAGTTATCTTTAAAAAATTGTACTATGTTGAGTACTTCCCCTGTTCAATACAGGAAGAAGAAGAAGAGATTGGATTTATACCCCGCTGTTCCCTCGGAGTCTCAGAGCGACTTACAATCTCCTCCCCGCCCCCACAACAGACACCCTGTGACATAGGTGGGGCTGAGAGAGCTCTTTCGAGGACTGCTCTTGAGAGAACAGCTCTGGGAGAACTTGTGACTGACCCAATGTCACACCGACAGCTGCATGGGGAGGAGTGGGGTATCAAACCCGGTTCTCCCAGATTAGAGTCCATGCTCTTAACCACTACACCAAACTGGCATGCATGCACCATGAAAAGATAAGTAATGTCAAGGAAAAGGAAAAGCCAACTTGGCAGCCATGTAAGTCTCCTGCATTCCAGCAAGCTGAACCCCACTATCCGTATTACTGAGCCAGTTTGGTGTGAGAGCCAGTTTGGTGTAGTGGTTAAGTGCGTGGACTCTAATCTGGGAGAACCGGGTTTAATTCCCCACTCCTCCACATGCACCTCCTGGATGACCTTGGGCAAGCCATAATTCTGGCACAGCTGTTCTTGAAAAAGAGCAGTTTCTGTCAGAGCTCTCTCAGCCCCACCTACCTCACAGGGTGTCTGTGGTGGGGAGGGGAAGGGAAAGGAGTTTGTAAGCCGCTCTGAGACTCCCTTGGGTAGTGAAGGGCGGGGTATAAATCCTCCTCCTCCTCTTCATCTTCTTCGAGCAAGTCTGGTCGCAGCTCCCTTATATCCTACAGGAACCTACTATGTGTTCCGTTTTCCCAGTGCACACAAACCTTATTAAAAGAGGGGATTAGACAGTTAATCAACGGCTATTAGCCCCAATAGCTAAAAGTAAACCTCCGTGTTCAGAAGTAGTAATAAAGGTACAGGGGGAAACAGGAGAGAGCTACCACCTCCATGCAAGGCTTATGGGCTTCCTGGAAACATGGGGCTG